GCGTTTTCCGGAAACTGCAGTCTCAAGGATGGCGACGGAGAAAGTGCGCCCATGGTCTTCCATGCCCTCGCGCTACTGAGCCAGAATACCAGCAGCCAGCACCCTTCGAGCTGCAGTGCGCCGATCTCGCGGTAGGAAGCGGTTCAAAAACTAAGCGATCTCGCGCAGTGTTTGCGATCTATGGGAGTGTTTCATTGTTTTTTTTTTACGGACGTCTTTTAGTGTTGTGTTTAATGGATTGCGCCCCGTCCTCGGCTCTTGAATTGCATGTTGGCAGAGATTTCGTATGATGGGTTTTGTAATAAACGTCAGTGTTTTCCTCGTGTTTGTCACGTCTGCAAGGCGTAAGGTTAACGAACGCATTTTTGGTTTTATGCGTTGGCATCCGCGTTAGTAAGACCCATCTTAAATGGGTTAGTATTATCGTTATTCAGGGTTGGTTATCGTTAGTATTAGCCTGAGTAAGTGTGTGGTCCACCTTGGTAATACTGTGGGTAGCGTCTTAGTAGAAGCTCAAACCTGAGTACTTAGGTGGTGAGTTTTGACAACTCACCCGGAATACTCACGTTATGTATGAGTCACGTTAGTGTTAACATGAGTATCTCCAGAGTACCAAAGAGTAGTTACCAAGGGAACCTGAGTAGTTGCCGTCGTGAGTTTTGACAACTCAGTTTGGGGTGGTAACGTGAGTAATTTTTTCTTTCAGTGTGTATTTACCTCCCATGGCCGTACACATGATGAGAAGGAGGTTGGCTGGGCGAGGGTTAATTAACGATTGTTAGATCCCAGCCATCAGAGATGTCTCGTACCCTCACCTATGCTGGTGCTGGCGTCCACTGGACTGATGAGTTGGCCACCCGACATGGCGCGCGTCTTCAAGCGCTGCCGGCCAGCCGACATCTCTGCAACGGAGGAGCAGCAGTGATGAGCGAAGACTGAATTAAAAAGGACCGATAGTCTAATCCAGTCTACTACCAGTCTGATGCTGTTGTGGGTGAGCACTAGAGTCTCAGGTATTACGGGATTAGCAGCCAAGCCAGAGTGAAGCGAAGCTATTGTCCCATCCACGGGGCCTACGGCGCAGCTATTATCCCCGTACTGTCCCCAGTGTGATATACCACTTCTATGGCTGTCTGTCGACGTAACGCCGAGTGAGGCAGATTATTGGTAACCCTGGTGATAATAGAGGTTCATTGTGCGCCGTGGATGGTCTCATATGCCCTCTATCACACCGTGGGAAATTCAATTAGCGTCCTATTCTGGCGGAGCCATTAAAAACTGCGGTAGGATACACCCGGATACCCAGGTGTTGTAAAAACTCGTCAGAAATTTAATCGAAAGAAGCTGCCGAACTAATGGAAAACTTAACCAAGCGAGCCGGAGCAGGCTACGTTATTGAAGGGGCGGCCGGACGAAGTGGGGGAGATGGTGAGATAGATATGAATTGTTGGGGAGGCCTACGTATCATACCTATAGCGACCGTTATTTTATGCGAAGGATCTCATTTATCTTCGTTTTATCACTTAGGAGAGATTCTCGATTTTCATTATAAGGCCTTTTTGAAACTTGGAATCGAGAGAGTATTTTATTAACACATCCAATGACATAAAAGAAAGATGGGATGACAGGAATATGAATGGAAAATCAAAATGAGAGAAATCTATTCAAAACTTTGGCATTTGTTCTTACCTGATGCAACGTCATAATGTCCACCCTCGCACTTATAGGGGGTTGGATGACAGCCCAGTGGCTGTTTTCGAATAACGCGCGTAAAAAGCAGCCCTAAAATTTTATGACCCTGACCTCAATCATCTCTGACCTGTGACCTGTTTTCCGACACCATGTCGGGCCGGAATTGAGATTCGGCGTATATACATAGGTATGTCGGCACACATAATCCGTGCGTGACTTTTTGTGATTAGGAACGTGCCAACATGTGAAATGATGCTCGTCCCATGCATATGATGGGTGTTTGGTCATTTGAAGGTCAGATCAAGGTCATTGATTGAAGTTTGGCGACCTCGGGTGATTTTTCGATGTTTACGACATTTTGTGGTAGTTTTGGAGCTGATTTTGAATTTATATAGGGGAAAGTGGGGTAAGACGGGCACCTTAACTTTGGAGCCATTTTTCGGCCGGTTAGAAACATCATAGAAACGGGAAACTGGGTGAAAACCTTTTTCAGACATTTTACTTTCATTTGCCAGAAGATGAGACTTAGACCTGATTCAACAAATAAACTGCAGCTATTTTTGCAAAACCTTGCAAAAACCCGTCTTACCCCACCCCATGGGGTAAGACGGTCACATGGGTAGGGCAAGACGGCCAGCTTCTTTCACCGATCAGCGCAGCTCGCAACAAATGCCCGAGATTAGCCGCATTTATACAGTCGCTCGTTGGTCTCAAGTGCTTCGGAAATGGCAGTATACGAGATTCGTGCAGAAGGCGTATGCTCCTATATAGGCCCTAGTTCAGAAGCCATGTAGAACCGTTTTTCACATTCATTATTCGAGAATAAACTGTGCCGAAGGAATATTGCTAACATGTCTGTGAGTATCGGAATCGAACATATTCTTATTAGAAATGCTTCTTTTTTCCTACAGCAACAAAAATATTTTCACCATTACAGACCCATTGGGTTCATAGTTGCCCGTCTTACCCCAAACTCAATGTCAGAAGTTCAGCACGATTTTTCGCTGTGGACAATTTGATGCAGACAAAGCAAATCCGCCGTAAATGAACACTGTTGGCATATGAGTGTACCACAAGTGATTGCGAGTTTTTAACTCTATAGTGCTGTACACAAAAGCTTGCACAATACATTATGGATGTTTTCAATGAAATGAGTGTTTTAAAGAAATCAAAATAAAAGATTATCGACTGAACACAAATTCACCAGACTTGAATGGTGGTGTGTAGTGGGAAAGGCAATTCTGGTCCTAACTTTTCTTGCTCGTAGCGCTATTGGTTTGGTCTGCAGAAGGGGTGCCCGTCTTACCTACCCTGACCGTCTTACCCCACTTTCCCCTATCTTTTACACTGATATTTGTGCTCATAGGCGCGGGAGCCGGAGGGGGCAGTGGGGGCAGCTTGCCCCCCTCCCCAACTCTGGGACCGTGGAGGCGGTGCCCCCACAACTTTGAATTGAAACGGAATACCGCACTTTTTTGCAAATATATTCCATACTATTCCATTCCGTTCCATATCCTAGGTCCATCACAGACAAAAATGTATAGAAATTTATTATTTTCCACTGGTGAAAGCACAGTGTCGGAAACGTCTGCCTTCATTTTTGCTGTATGTGTATTGTGATTGCCTTTGGAACGTCAAATTTCATTTCCCTACACCTTTAATCATGCATAAATGCAACAAGGTATCGCCTTACTCACCTGCCAAGCGCCGCCTGCCGGCATGGGGTTCAAATGCCTTCTGCGGGAATGATTGTCGATTTCTTACCAGATGATCAAATCCTGCTTTTGACCAGCTCCTCGCAAACGACAGCACCTCCTTCAGTCTCGTCGCCCTCACTCGACCGCCTCCGTCGCCCAACTGTCGTCAGCTGGCCCGGCAGCGGAAGGCTCAAAGCCTCCTACCCTCCCTCCCCTCCACCCTTAACCCCTGCAGGCACCGACGAAGTTGGCCCGCCCCGACACCGTTTGGAGCGGCGAGACAAGGGCCCTTCCTCCCGTCGGATCGTGGAGCCGAAGGGATAGGTCGCTATTCACGTTCCATTTCGTCGGGGGACCAGATGACCAGTCGTCAACACCGTTATCTAACACGCTGAGGCCTCTGCAGTTGGCTTAGTCTGGGTCAGGAGCGAATTTTATCTAAAATGCATTGCGGAGCACTGGTGGATCTCCGGGGGGGGGGGGGGACCGGGCCAAAGTCAGGACTAGGGGCGGCCAAAACGTGATTTGGCCCCCCTTTCCAAATATAATTCGTCACTTTAATTTCCTATGGACCGTAATTCACAAAAGATGACGACGTGCATGTGAGATACGGATAAAACCTCATTCCAAACCCATTCAGTGCAAATATAGGTATCGAAAGCGGGAACGTTTTATCATTGGTACAAACGGAGTCCTGACCTTCGGTCTGTCAAAAGTAGGTACTTGCTAATGTTTTAAGCGCTCTTTCGAATGTTGACAGTCAAATAAATGTTTCAGGAATGTTACGATCTGACAATTGCCCTAGCATGGATTAAATTTACGCCGGGGATTTTAATTGAGAGGCGGAGGGGATTATCATCGTCACCTTCATCCCGTACCATTATAGAGCACCCAACAGTGACCGGCTTTGGCCCTTCTCTTTGAAAATGGCTGGATCTGCCAGTGTTTCGGAGGCTTAAAAAAAAACATACCTAGCCGTAAAATGCCCCGTGTGCTGTAGCTTGTAACTAAGTCGTCTGCCACAGTCGCCATTGCGATCGGCTTTTTTTGTGGCATAATTTTGCTCTAATAACCAGCTGCAACCCTGAACCCAAACACTTGATAAACTTAGACTAGTGTAATTATGAATTATGACCAAACGTTGGGTAGCTTCAAGCTTGGCACAAAATTGTTATCGTGAGCTGACGGTTTGACTTCAAAATGAAGGGATCCTCGGTCCTCGAAAATATGTGCTGCCATATTCATGCTTCCATATACGAGCGCTTATGACGCAGGTGAGGCAAAAAGAAATTTTGAAGTAGTGCTCAACACGCAAAGAAACTTTGCCGGGCATTGCTAGTTGCGTAGCAACCAGCTGCTGTAACACATGGTTGCCTGGCAACATCAATACTTTTACATAAGAGAGTCAGCAGTAGAACAGTCAGCCTCGGGTTATGGAAATGCAGGCATTGTTGATAGGTAAAGTTCATTATAGAATTCAGTGGTAAAGTTAAACGAAAGTAAGTTACAATTGGGCTTGTTCGCCGATTGCAGGTTATATGTGAACTGCAACTTAATTTTTCCACACATGAACATTTCATTTTTAATGTGCTCCGGCCAAGTGTAGGTGTAGGTGGTGTGTGTCATCACCAAATGCCAGTTGACAGCTGCAAATTTTACTGTTCCGGACCAAACTGTCTATTCTTAGTTGAGTTTAATTTCTCCCTCAAAATGTGAATAAATAATAATAGACCAATGATGAGGTGGGTGAGGGCTAATTTTCTTATGTAGACCATAGCTCTGTTCGCACTCCGTTTATTTATCAGCAGGCTGCAACCGCCAACCATGCTGCTGCTTCTTGGCTCCTCATTGGTCAAATTCAAGTGGTCTATTCATAAGACCAATGAGAGGCCAAGCCACGCCAGCAATAACTTCCTTATATGGGGAAAACCGACGGCACGCTGATATAAAAACAGTGCCCGAACAGGGCCCCTGTTGATAACAATAGCTCAGTTATCAGTGTCCTGTAACATAGGTACAGTATATACATTACTGGTTTGAGGGTTGATAACAAGCCTTTCATAAATATTGTTTCCATTCCTGTGTGTGCTCACTGCTCACACGATGCACATTGATGCACTCTTGGCCTGTGCAGAACTCCTAATGATGCCATCTGGCACCTCATATTTAAAGGGAATAGTTTGCTTTCCTCAAATAAGTTTTTGCAATGGATTTATGATATTTTGTGCTTAAAATGATCAGAAAATAAAATGAAGTTTTTATAAAAGGATTATTTTCTATACCTATTTTAATAAAGGAAGAACTAATTATTTGACGTGGAAGCTTTTTACAGTTTACACGTTGACCAATGGGCAATGAGCAGCATGGTGATTGGCTGACGATGATGTGGCTGCATTCCTCAGCAAGGCACTCATTCCTCTGGAAGGCACCCTTTACAGAACGAGAAATTGAATATCTTTGTCTGGGGTGATCGTTGGGCGGTAATAGCTCCTGATTTGTGCTAGTCTCAGCTCAAGCTACGAAACTGCTATTCCAGTTCAAACCCCATGTTTAAAGTGAACTATTTACTTTAATCACGTAACATTTACAAATGTCTGCAAAGGTCCGAGCAGTTGAGGTGTCCACAGTCCAATCAAACCTTCCCCTCCCCCTGTATGTTAGAATCTGTGAAAACTCCACTACGGGTAAGGGTGGCTGCGCGTCCTAACCCAGCAAGCAAGCAAGCAAGCAAGAAGGCAGGGCCTATGACCCCAAATGGCAAATACACAAGTAAAGGCAGATCAGGAACAGATATTCCTATTCACTCAGCAATCAGCATTGTACTGATGTAATCCATTGCAATATGCATTTACTCTGCTCATGTATTCTCTGTCAATTTGCCATCCTGTAGCTGTTATACCAATGGTGTGCACATTTTTCATAAAGCTATTGCTCCTTGTATTGCCAGAAATATTACACATAACAGTATCAATTTTGTTATTTTGTATGATCCTTAGAAGAACATAAATTCTAAAATGATCTTATATTTGACCCAATGGTACATATTTCCTATTGGGTCACTTGTGAAAAAAACATTTGTTATCAGTAGCATTAACCTCATTCTTCTCTTTCAGAGTTGTGCTTCTGGATGTGAGCTGCAGACCGACAGCAGCCATGTCGCTGGGGAGGCTGGCAGCCCTGTTGCCCGGCCTGACGCCGGCGCTCCGTCCTCTGTACGTTCCCTGCCGCCACGCCGGTCACAGCAAGTGGGCCAACATCCGGCACATCAAGGCGGCCAAGGACCAGGAGCGCTCCAAGAAGTTCGACCGTCTCGCCAAGCTGATGCGCACAGCGGTGGCCGAGGCCGGTCCGGATCCTCTGACCAACCTCCGTCTGGAGAACCTGATCGACCAGGCGCGCGGTGTCAACATGCCCAATGCCACCATCCAGTCGATCCTGAAGGCTGGCGCCAAAGGCCGCGAGAACGCCCGGCCCGGCGAGGTGGAGCTCTGCGGTCCGGGCAACTCGAGTCTGGTGGTCGAGCTCTTCACGGACAACGTGCGTCGCTCCGTGAACGACATCACGGCGTTCCTGCGGAAGCACCGCGGCCGACTGGGGCCGGCCAAGCACGCGTTCACGCGCTGCGGGGTGGTGGTGACGGCTCCCGGTCCGGGGGACCTGGACGCCGTCACCGAGCACGCCATCGAGGCTGGTGCCGAGGATGTGGAAGAACAGGACGGAGAGGATCCCGGGGAGAAGGTGCTCGTGTTTCACACCTCCTGGGATGACGTGTACGCCGTGAAGAAGGCGCTCACGCAGAGAGGGTATACAGTCAAACACGCTGAGACTCTTTATGAGCCGCTGACACCGGTGACACTAACGGGTGAGGACGCGACGCTGCATGAGTCGCTCCTGGATAAACTCAATGAGCTGAACGATGTGGTCAAAGTGTCTACAAATGCCGAGGTGGAATCGTAACCGTGGTGCTGTGCGAGTGAATTTGGGCGAATGTTGATATGTTTAATATTTTATTTGTGCATCATGCCGTAGCTGATCGTTTTCCTAGGCTCTTTTCGCAGCCTACCAGAATAAGTGAGTTGGTGCGGAACTAATGACGTCCGCATTTATCACTAAGCCATGCCAATGGTTTACCATTGGCAGAACCCACAACACCAACGGGTGCTTGATTGATTGTGTCATTCACCAACAGCTTGATTGTATGTGGTCGTATGCAGTCAAGGGTCGTAGAACTTGTTACCTACTGAATTTGTCGTGGTTGACTATTGGCTGCTGTTTGCAAACATGGCAAAGCGCTTCTGGTTGCTGGTTGCTGCTTGGTTATCACAACGTAAACCGTGGTGCTAAATGCACTGGAAAGAAATGACAAATTAATTTTGCGTTTTTCTTGGCTGGGTTTTACAGATGAGCTGTTCCTAACTAAAGCACAGTTGACTTTATTCAAAGCTTCATTCGTTATTCGTTGATATCTGCCTAGTTCCGGCCTTTCTCACTGGGTGGCAGGGTGCACCGATATTAGTGGAGATGGCGCCGTAATCGACATAAACATTTCCCCACCTCTTTTTACAACCGCCAACGGGGAAACGCTGCATAGACAAGGGAAAGATAGAGCTAGGGATTATTTTATAGAACTTTTTCCCGACTGGGTCAAAAAATCAAAAAAGATGCCTATTGCCTGCAAATCATCGCTGACCACTGAGGCTGAGAGTGTAGCACCCTCGGCGTACGGGACCAAGGAGCTGGGACCCCAGACCGCGAATGGCCAATGTGTGCGCTCAGTGCCTTCCGTTTCTACATACATACATCTGTACTGTCCGTTTAATGCGTCAGTGTCTGTGAACTGAACGGTGCAGTGTTATCGGTCCTGCCGGATCCACCCTGGCCGGCGCGGTCGGTGCCGGCTGGCCAGCTCGTCCTCGTAGGGAGGGAAGAGGATGGCTCTGGGTGGCCACCTTCAGCAGTTTTCACACTTGAGTCATAGCCCTCAGTCTTCACTCTCCCTCACACTCACCTGCTCACTGAAGTGAGAAGAAGCATGCGCTTCAGTCGAGCTGCTCCATCCTCTTACAGTGTAGTTATAGCCACTGCCAGTCGTCACATCACAGCGCCTAAGATGGTTCGCGTGATCAAGACCTTGACCCTGGGCGGTCAGCTGGTGTGACCTTGAACCGGCCAATCAGAGGTCAGCCTAACGTCACGTGACACGGGCCAACGAACCACTATCGGCCGGATGTGGGTGACAGCTGATGTCAGCAGTGATGACAGTGACATGTGACACTTGTGCGACATTTCACGCCGGCTATAACAGTAACAGTGAAAAGCTGACCGTGCGCTTCTGTCATTCACGCCTTTCTTAAAACGGCAGTGCCGAACAATTTCAGCTTAATAAAAGAGTGAAAATGAATGTCAGCATAAATTGTTTCATATCCGTCTGTCAAGCACAGGGTATTTATTACAAATTACATAATGAAAACCTCGTGATAAGAAGTGTGAGCTGTTCACTGCTCGCAGGCTGGAATCATGAGCCCCATACGCTGTTCATCACCCGTTCAACCTCCCCGACAGTGTCTGAGTTACTGTCTTGTGCAGGGTTTCGTTTGTAAACAACACAATAGCATCAGTCAGACAGTACCTACTTGCATGTGCTCCTCAGCAGTGTAAGCAGAACCGAACTCGACTTAGTTTGGGCTCAAATCGTTTGCGACCCTTCTCATAGCGCTGCGCCTGTGCTTCTGTGTCTCGAACTTCTACTGTCTGTACGCAAGCTTTTATCGAATCAAGTCACGGTTTTCTTTCAGCCTTCATCCATAGCTGAATGTCTCACCCTCCATTCCCTCCACAATCGATTTCCATTCTTCCTTCCCCCTCTCTTCTCTATATCCACTAAACACCCATTCCGTAAACGCTTGGGGAGCATCACGTGTTTCTCTGTATTTCTGAGACATCACAAGTGTTGTACAGCAGGGTGTACGTCACGCTCTGCCAACCGGCCACGTGGCGGCCGCTGATTGGCTGAGCACGCCGGCCGCCATCGTAAGTAGATATGTACCGTGGAGAGGCTCCGGGTGCGGTCACAGAGGACACAATAAAACCGGCCCGGGTGCGCAACACCCGACTAAGAGTGACTGACAGCTCTCGCGGCCGGCCGGTGCCTCAGGTGACGTCACCGACCGGCGACCAATCGGAGCGCAGGACGCCGGCCGGCCGGATGTACGGTAAAACAACAGCTTGACATGTACGTAATGAAAAGAGGCGGGCGCGGCCGGCGGCACGCGCGGCCCGAACACAGAGAGCAGCGGCGCAAGCGGCGGCGGGGCACAATGGAAGCCATGGGCAGCACGGAGCGGCGCTCGGAGCCGGCACAATGCGGACACACTGATATAATGAAGGTGGCGCCACCGGCTCTGGCCGCGCCAACACAATTACAGGCTAGTCGCCGCCGCGGGCTCGCGTCGGCATCAGGTACTGGAAAATATGGGTAACTCTGCCCACTCCTCTCCTCTCTCGGCGTCTCGCCCGGTCACCCAGACATCGCAGCGAACGGGATGAGCGACACACGCGCAGTGCATACATCGTACACACTACACACACCAGGCACACATAATATACATTATCATAATTATACGCATAAACTCTTACAACACGCCAACATCAGCCATGGGAGCACGGCATACCAATCAACATTAAGTAGGCTTGAAAATGTGAGATCACTGCTCACTTTTCGCGCGCAACATGTGTAAAAATAGAATGTCGTTGGGCCGCCCGCTCGGTCGGTCGGTGGGGCGCGGCCGAGAGCTCGCCCGGCCGGCCGTCCCGTAAGGCAGTTCCGTCCGTCGGGCGGCCGCCGCCGGCGTCACAGCAGCGTCAGATCACACGTTTGTACAGGGCGGGCCGGGCCGGCAGTCCGGGCCGGCCGCCTACGTGGATGAACAGTCGATCTCCACCACGTCATTGAGGTCTCGGGGGACGTCCTTGAACTGGTAGACCAGCCGCTGGCCGTCCACCTTGTTCAGGATCCCGCGCTGGTAGTAATACCTGGCGAACAAGAGAAAGGCGAACGTCAGAAAGCTGGCGATGAAAGAAGCGAGCCATCTAAAATCGCTTAGTTCTGCATACGCTCTTGCCATACGAAGTTAATTGAGGTAAAGGTAGCGACATCTGTTGACATTTCACCACACCACTACTATCCCTATAGATGTCGCGCCAGTAGCGACCACTGCCCACCCTCTGACCACGGAGTACCATCTCACCTCATTGCGCGTCCCATGGTCTCGTAGTTCATGTCGGGCTTGTTCTTGTGCCGGCCCCACAGCTGTGCCACCGCCTTCGAGTCGGTCAGCTTGAAGATGTGCTCGCGGAAGTTGACCCACTTGATGATGGAGGGAGTGTAGCGGGCGTCCTGCAGCAGGTTCAGCAGGAACTCCCACAGATACAACGACGAGCCTGCAACAACAGAGAGCGGACGTCAGCATGGCTCAGCGGGACAGCTCAGAGAGAGGATTACACCATCCGAGTGACCATCGTTAGTCACAAAGGTCAGAAGGAACACAAATAGCCATCTCACTGCTCTATACAATGATGCAACATCAGACACCCAACCCGTAGCCCACGTCACACGAATATAACTCCCCGAAACCATCCGTGCCCGGATTACTCACCGTCACGACTCTTGCGTTTCGGGTGCGGCGCTCCGTCGGGCCGCGGTTTCCGGCCACGCCTTCTGCTGATATCGAAGTCGAAGGCGGCCGCCGCCTTGTAGACGTCCTCGGGACTGGAGGCGGGAGGGCTGCCGATCAGAGGCGAGCCCAGAGGCAGAGCGCCCGTGTCGTAGAGCGGCGCCAGGCCGGCCGAGTAGAGCGGGCGAGCCGCCGGCGGCATGGTACCGGTACTGTACGGAGCCAGCTGGCTGGTACTCGGCGCAGAGCCGTACAGAGACTCGGACACTGGAAAGAAGAGAGAGAGGCCGTCAACTCACTGGGTAGGGTGTATTACATGGAGCAGTCACACAGACGATTCGCTACCCTCCTCCGGTGAGCAGTACCGAGCAGCAAACAAAGCGGGCATGAATAAAACATTATTTCCTACCGCCCGACTGTGACTTGACAAACAACTCGGCGCAGTGAGCGGGACGCCCGGTCGGAGCGGCACCAGTCGCCCGCTGCTCCAGGGGCGCCGGTCAGCGGTCAGCGTCCACCCGAGCCGGACCGGCCGGCCGGCAGTTGCTAGCCGGCAGTGACCTTCCCAGTCCCGGGCCAACAGGGTCTGGTTGGCACCCGCCCCCTCCTCTGCCCTCCCCGCCCTGTCACTCAGTCGCCTGCCGACCGAACTCTGATGGAAACCACCGCTCAGAGCGCCCATTAATTCATAACCGTCGGTGAACGAACGCAGGAGACGACACTCAGAATAGCCCTTCCAGGTACTGGAAACAAACTCGAACAAAAGCTGACCAGAAGTTTACCTTACAGTCTCATCACAATCCCGATCGGGACAACCGGCTATAACCAGCTTCTGTTTCTAGGAAGAGGTCATTTTTATTTGACCCTACTGTCTATTTGTGGTGTCCGGGCCACCAGTTCTCGTTGCGGCTCGCAGCAGCTGAAGCCATTCGGCCGTCATAGATTCCCAATAGTTGACGCGCTCGCGTGCGGTGCTGCGCCCCGCCAAAGGTCGCCGGGTGGGCCAGTAAATAGCGTGCCGGCCGCGGTATTTCTGCCACCGCTCGTTACACCCGGCCGACGCGTGCGTCACGAGCCAGCTCGGTCCAGTCTCTGCCACCGGCCCGTCGCCAACGACGAGCCGCCGCGCGTCGGCCCCGACGACCGCCGGCCGGCTCCAGCGCTGCCAGAGCTCGTCGGTGCGTCCATCGCCGCCGATGACGTCAGCGACCGTCAACGCTTCCGCCGCGTGACGTCAGCACGGGTCAGGGTTAGCCGCACCACAAGCTCAACGATCAATACGGCCAGCTAAAACGGGCGCCGGCCGCTAAATTTAGGCGCACCGACGGCGCCCAGCCTACGGTAGCCGGAAGCGAGAGCGATTCGAGAGCCGGCCACGTCGGCCGCCGGCATAGCGACGTCAGAGGGCTCCGAAACAAGACCCTGAATAAATCCCCGCTCACGAGGGGCTGTGTATCTCTGTGGCAACGTCCGGAGCGGGTTTTAGGACGAGCGTGAGTACAAGGACGGTCACCATTGCGCGCCCGGCTGCGGCGGCGGATAGCAGTTCCCAGCGACCACTTTCACTCTCGGTCCAACCTTGACATCCGCTCGGTCACCGGCCGGTGGAGGCTTGCTCAAGAGTTGCATCGGCGGCGGAACGACCATGGTCGTGACTGGCCCGGATTTACGTCAGAGGGGGAGGAGGATAGGGGGGAGGAGAATGACTGGTCCCTCTCATCCGTCCGCAGCTGCGGCGCCTGCAATCGAGCTGACAGATTGCTGCCGAAATCGGCCCCAGGGTTGCGTCATGGACCAGCCTAACCCTCGGCGGCCCCGCTGCACTGTTGCCATGCCACCTCAGTCGGCAGGCGGGCCACAGAAGTCGCCGACGCGACACCAGTCCGACATGCGAGCGGAAACTCTGTGCGTGCCGCGCCCACGACACAGATCACACCCTAGATAGCCTCGCAATGACAGCGACATACGACGACACCATAATCCACGACCGGCTCACTCTAAAGTCGCCGGCCGGTAATGTTCGCCTCATGAGCGGAGCGGGGAATTCATAAAACCCGGGCCGAGCGTGCAGCCTCTTTCATCCGCAATCTGGTTCATCACGTCTGGGCCGGTCTGTGCCAGCCCCTGCCGACCGGACACGCATTAGCAGCCGTTAGAGCGGCCAAAGAGGCTGGTCACGCGCTCGAAGGCTCAGCCTCGCCATCTGCACGTGGCAGGAGTGGCTCGGGTGTTCCTTTTCCGCCGTGATGGCGGATCATCACGTCTATCATCTGTCTATCCCATCACCGCCGAGTGTCACGAACTGGGTGTGGCAGAGAGGGGCGATGACGCTCATTGCTAAACCAGCTCAGAGCCGCTGAACCGAACTAGCCCTTTATCCCAGTTCTCTGACCTAGCCCCTCCTATCATTGAGCAATACGACCCCGTCGGCGGACGAGTGTGACCCCTGGTGACCTTTTGTGACCCCTGTATGGCCCTGCATGGCTCGTGTGACTCGTGCATGACCTTGTGTGACCCAGTGTGCCCCTGCGCAGTGGCGCACTCACCAGGTGGCCGCTGAGGCGGGTACGGCTGGTGCCGGTACGGGTGCCGCTGCGGAGGCGGCTGCTGTCCATAGAATGGGTGCGGCGGGACCGCCGGGTGGTGCCCGTCCTCGGGTGCCGCTGGTAGCACTGCAATGGAACGGGGCCGTCCGGTCAGCCCAGGACATGGCACCGCGCGCCGGAACATAAACACGTGACAGTACTCGGTACAGCAGTCAAACACCGCAGTACACAACGTGAAAATGTAAGCTGACGCCTACATCATTCATAGCACAATCAACTAAATGTCATGCGCTTCCACCAGGCAGCAGAATGAAGCAATCCCTGCAGCGTTGAATGGCGTTTACGGGCTCGTCTATAATCCTGCCCACAACATGGCCGCCGTCGCCGTGCGGCCACAACAGTTCGTCGTAACGGGTAGCACGGCGCACGTCCCTGCACGGCGGCCGCGGCGCGCCTGTCCGGCCCCGGTTGGCAGACCGCCAGCGCTCCCTGCCCGCCCTCCCTCCCTCCCGGAAAGAGGTGGCTGCAGCAGCGGCGGCGGCGCCGCGGCCAGGGTCACCGCTCCGCGCGACCGCGCGACACCCGTGCAGCGCCGGCAGGCCGCGGCTCTCGCCGGTTTGTTTATGGCTGCTGAGAGCCGACGGCAGCGATCCGGGAGACCCAGGGCGACGGCGAGTGACAGACGCTACGGGGTGGTTACACACCATACTGAGAGGTGGCTGTACCGACACCAAGAGTGGTACGGTGGGGAGATTTAGCGTCCGGCGACAAAACCGGCGATACGGCGAGATGGACGCGATAGCAGACCGCTAACGAGTCCCCTGAACGGTCGCGTGACGCGCTGCAGAGCGGTCATTCACACTGCAGAGCGATGAGCTCATCGTTCCGCCCCGCCATGGTCGCGGCGCGCTCGCTAATCCGCTCTGTACGATGACCTAGGGAGATGACGGCACCCTCCCGGCACGACCCCCCGGAAAAGGGGGCTCAGCGACGCCCCACATAGAGGAGGGGCGCCGACGTAGTGACCGTGCGGTCGCACTTCAATGTCACACTGAATGGACTGAAGCCGAGCCGGACAATGCAGCTGGCGGCCCGAACCGCACTATTCAGGTGTGGCACCGGATGGGTTACATCAGCGCACGATGGTTCCCGGAAAGTGGTTCGAACGAGTGCGGCGTTTTGACGCCGTTTGCACCGCACGAAGAAGGGTGCGGCGTAAGCTGACGCTTCAGGGACGAACGCGGCGCTGTTGCGACACAGCGCGTCTGCCGCGGCTGCGAGAGAGACAAACAGTCTGCTGAGTGGGCGTGTTGCAGCAGCAGTTACTTCCGACAGGCGCACTAGCACGCAGCCTGCAGAGCAAAACAGGCCGAGAGGGGCTCTCATCAGCAGATAAAACTTCTCTGCTAGGTCCGCATTTAGCTGAGGGCATCAACGAAAGACACATAGGTCCAGCCTCGCCAGGGTTTGGCTCACCTAGTCCTTCATCCTTCTGAAGGAATGTGTTCATCCACGTGACTTTATCGCCATTTCTGACATTGGTCCTCCCCGAGGACCGTGCTGGCGGCGCCTCTGCCGACCCGACCGACCACGGCCGGATCCGCGTTCCAACGGCGGCGGCCTGCACAGAGCTGTCGCGTTCCGACAACAAATACGATCCGAAGGCCATCGGTGCCGATCTGTCCGGCCGGCCGGCTGCAGCGGCCGACCGACCGTCCGATCGGCCCGGCTCGGCTAGAGCCGCTCCACTGTGCAGCTGAAGAGTGTCCGGTTCGGCCTTCGTCGGTCCGATCCGCCCCATCAACACCTGTGCGTGTGGGGAACGCACATAGCGTCACACAGCGCCGAACAGGTGAAGACAAAGCCAACTCGTGACTATGTATCACCTCCGCGCCGGTCCCGACCTAGAAAGGGCACCAGCCGTGCTCTGACCTTGAGACACGGCGCACACTGTCTGTCTGTGTCCCTGTTTCTCCCCTGCGTGCCAGACGTCTGCCGCGCGGCGGGCCGCCAGTCGACGGTCACCCTCGCTCCCCCTCCTCCGGCGAGTGCCAGCGGGGACCGCTAAATCAGACCACCTACAAAAACCCGTCTGCCACCACCAGTAGAGGACTAGCCCGTGAACCAGCCCGTCCCATCGAGCCCGTTGATTGGAGGTTCGATCGGGACTGACTGTCGCACGCACGGTGTATGCCGTGGCACGGCCGGCCGCAGTCAAGCTCCCCTCACAGCCAGATCGACAGCCGGAAGCAGCGGTCAGCGGCGCCCGAGGGCTCCCCTCGGCGCGACGGCCAGGGGCGAGGGAGGGGTGCAGGACGATGACCTGGTTGTCGGGGCACTCCATAATTAGTGACTGAACGGATTGGGTGGGGGTGAAATGCACACGTCGAGCAGATGTCCCACCACGTGGTTGGACGGCGACGGTGTTCACTTTCTGGCGCTCCAGTTGTGCGAGCTTCAAGGACAAAAGGTTAACCCGACCCAGGACGGAAAGAGGAAAGTTCAAGAAATGAGAACACACCAAGACATGCTGTGTACAGCGTCGGCACTCACTGTGAAGTCGCGGTTTTAGCTCGTCGGTGCTGGCATTTCCGCTGCTGCTGTCGACGTCCGAGACGCCGCTGTCGGCGGGGCTGGGCGGCAGGGAGCCGGTGCCTGTCGAGCGGAGGCACAGGCGCGTCAGGACCAGGTGCGTTGCGTCGAGCCGGCGTTCACACCGAGCGGCCACCGCGCGCGCCACTCCCTCCATGTGAGAAAGTGGCCAGTTGCACCCGACTATTTGGGGCTATCAGCTATGGAAAATTCCCAGCGTCATGTCCTACAGCCTGAAGTGGAGCTCTCAGTTTATCAACGATCTGTGCAACTCGGCCCCAGCTCCTAGTATGTCGGTTTTAACGCAACGAGTCCAGCTAGATTAATCACCGAGCGCCCCCGAGAGGAGACGGTGCGTCCCAGTCAGCGGGCAGTGACCTTGTTTACACATTTTGTCCCATCCATCACTAGAGCCAGGGGAGGGCCGAGAGGGCCGGGCGACAGAAAGGAGGGGACACAATCGCTCACGGAGAGGGAAAGGGTTGTTCTATTTGGAGCGGCAAGGCGAGTGACCTCTGCGGAATGGGGACCGGAGCGGGGATGACGGGGAGGGGAGGGGAGGGGAGGGGAGGAGGGAAGGGAAGGGGACAGAATGATGTGACTAATGGGATCAGCTCCCGACAATCGGAAAACGGGGATCTGTCACCCGCCGGTACAATACGAATGGACCGTGAGAACCGAAAACGAAAGTGATTCCACTCGCGTCTCGGTACAATTCGGTGGAGGGGACGTTTAGAGCGGCACCGTGCGGAACTAAGTTCATTCGCACACAAGAAGATGACGAAAGTGTGTCACTCGGTACTTGGCAATGCTGCAAAAACGGCAAACTCAGGGGAAAGAAACCCTGTGTTTACGAAATCTAACAGGAAATGAGCGGCGAGTTTTTGCGCCCGATTGACGCCGGTTGATTTTGCAACAGGCTGCACGGCCAAAAGTTTTTGCTGTGCATCGTTAGGTGCCCATGCTTCGACAGTTGCACGGTTAACCAAACATTCTCCGTCGTAAGCCAAGCGGGAAAATGTAGTCACGTTATATGCCATATCTACTCCACAACAAAAACCGTTTGAATAATTTACCTCCGTCCAACAATACTAAGTGACTGTGGCGGTCACTCAAAAGACGGTGCACCGGCTGCGGTGGCAAATGTCAGGGCCACGCTACAACACGGAACTGGCGCAGTGGACACGTGCAGTGGCGCAGCGGCGCCTGTCACGGCGCACCGCCGCCGAGGTGACCGCTGCCACTCCCGCCACGGACACGACGGGGCGGAAAATGTCACAGACATTTCGTGAGCAAACCCACTAACGAGGCAATATCCGCATACCGTTCCATCTGCGCACCGGCAAAATAATCACCCGCCTGATGAGGCCAGCTCATCTACATCATGTTTTAGCATGACAGGCAATTCCGTTATAATGAGGCCCATCCGAGGCAGATCTTTTCCTTTCGTTTCCGCTTACGTTAGCCGTCTGCCCTCTGTGAAGGGCAGCCGGGTTCCGTGTCATGCTCCGTTAGCCGCCGGTCCAGCCGAGCATGTAAGCAGCAGCACGATGCCGCTGTCAATGACCCGACCACTCCCTCTCCTTGTCCGCGACCTTCCCACCACAGAGGTCACTCGGCGCTCGCCATACAGAGGTCACTCGGCGCCCGCCATACAGAGGTCACCCGGCGCCCGCCATACAGAGGTCACTCGGCGCCCGCCAGCTCCGTCCGTCAGACACTCACCTGGCTGGCCGGGCACCCGCGGGTGCGCGTGTGGGTGCGGATGCTGCAGCGGGTGATGAGGGTGCGGATGCGGCGGCGGCGGCGGTCCGGGCCGCGCCATGGCCGCCGGCGAGCAGTGGCCCTCGGAGGTAAGCATCTCGAGCAGCCGAGACGGCTCGGCGGGTCGCAGCAGGTCAACAGGAGGCCGGGGCGGCGCCGGCGGCGCGTACCCGGCGTCCGAGCCTGCGCTGGTCGACGCACCGCGCTGCTCATCACCTGGGGAAGACAGAGAGGGCGGTGAGACGGACGTCAGGGGCTCCACCGGGTGACACAGCTCGCCCGAGACACAACACCGCCGCGCCGCGGACAATGGGCCGCCTGTTTACCAATCGGGTGCATCAACGACCTCTCCGGTGTCACCAGTGCATCGTGGTGCCTTCCGACATGCGAGAGGGCACATCGGTTTCCAGCAATCGGGTCGGGTCATAGAGCACCAGGGCGAGGTGGCGTGAGCGTCCTGCTTACACCAGCCTCGGCTTCCGGTGCCGGGTCGGGCCAGGACGTGTCCGTTCCCACGGCTCCAGATCCAGGTTTCCAGCCGATGCACACGAACGGACGATCCAGACACGTGTCACCGGCGCCTCAAAGTCATGCGCCGGGAAAGGTAAACAGGAACGGGTTCTACCGCCCCATTGTTCGGCAGTGGCTAATTCTATAGCGACATCACACGGAAACAAGCCAGATATCACGGCAAAGAGGCGTCATCTCATCGTCAGATCCTAGCCCAGCCCAAAATAGACCCCATCTCGCTGCGTCGTATAAATTCGAGGCTCTGTTTGTACCGCGGCACTGCCGGGTCCGTGCGGGCGCAACATTCCACCCGGGGCGGCTGGCAGCGAGCCAGCGGCGGCATCCGGCGCAACACGACCACAGCGCGCCCGGGGCGGCTTCCGGGCACCTCCCTCCCCCGCTCCACCCCTCCCCGCTCTGCAGCCTTTACCAGCTCGGTCCAACGACCGCCGCAGAGGCACCACTCCGCCGCCGCGCCCTTGAAGCTATTTCCGGGTGCCGTTTTTGGGTGCGGCGGTCGACGACGGGCTCAGAGATTCTCTGACGGTCTCCCGTCAGTATCTGCCAATGGCTGCTCGTCTCGGATGCCGCACCGCAGGCTGTTCAACCCCGACTCCAAGGCCACAGTTGCAAAAACGCCCGGTCGCGGTCGGCCCGGCGCGAGCCCGCCTGCTTTGTCCGCCAAGTCTTCGGGAAAATTAGACTCGGCCGCAAAAACTCAACGACAAAAACGGGTCACATGCCTCGAAAAAGTCGTAAAAGTGAGGCGGAAGCCACGACAGTTGGCTGGCTCTGGCGCCTCCCCTTCCCCTCGCCCAATGCCCGGTCAAACGAAGAGGACTTCGAGAGATGTCATACCACGGATGGCACTGAGTGACAAATTCCGACACATCTGTCCTCACCCCGCTCAAAATTCGTCAAACTGACAGGGCGGTAAGTAACGCGTGCATTCCGTTCATTCCGGGGAGGGATTACACTCGAGACGATAAAAATGTGAAATTGTTACAATGAAAACCACCCCTGGGTAATGAAAAACTAATCCTATTACCAGATAGAAAAGCTGTGGCGACGCAGCACAATAGCCTACTATGTGCGTCACTTGCCTACGCCGCCGACAAGCTGAAGCGTATAAAGCCGACTTCACTGAGCCACCAACATCACACAGCACATGACTAAATCACACGACACTAGCCGGGCTGCATTCTCGAGTTCGGGGGGCGATGACCGGAGCGAGTCAGTGCCAATCACGGAGCGTAGGAGCTTCTCCGAACTCAACCCGACGGAGCGACCGTGCTCCGCGGCGTAGTGGCCGTGCTCCGAGGCGTAGTGGCCGTAGCGGTCGTTACGAGCTGCGACGAAGACAGCAGGGAGGGTGTTTTACCCGTGACGAACAAAGGTGCCTTCTAGCACCACCTCGAGCGTTTCCTCGTGCTCAAGGCCGGCAGTGTGATCCTCCCAGACGCCAGTAACCGTGACATTTCGAATCCCCGGTCCGACACGGGGTCACACCGTGCCCCGTTTCCGGTGGGTCACGCAAGTGTCGCGTGCTCGGGCCGCCCCGGCACGGCCACCGGCGCCATGTGCCGGCTCTCTCACCTCCCACGATGCAGTGGCAACACGCCGCGTCATTGTAGTTGATCAGCCCGGCGCGTCCGCCTCTAATCTGTGCACCAAACGTGATGTGTCATTGTAATGACACGAGTGGTGCTCCTTACCACGAGGACGGACGGGCCCGGTGGGCGCGGACTGGGTGTGTACTTAGTTCTCACTATGAAGGACTATCGAGAAACGTACAGCTACCGTCGCTCCACACACACAATGAACGAGTGTGATTATACCCGACAGACCGTTCTGCAATAGACCCATAAGACTGCCCGGATACAGTATTGGCTGCGGACAGGTGCACCTAATCCCAGGGCGTGCCTGCAAACCGCCGCCGTCTTCCGGATACGCCCTTGTCCGTGACATTCGAACCGTGCACGCCCGGCGCCTATAGTCGTGTTGGCGAGCTGTTGCTCCGCTCCGCGTGACTGCACGGACGGACAACGGTCGCCGGCGGGGACAGGAAGGAAACCGGTCCCAAGCAGCCGGGACGACCCAGGTCATGGCCGGGTCGCCGAGTCGTGGAGTCGAGGGGTCGTCACGGGGTGAAAAGAGTCCTTGCTCGATACGCCCGACTGATGGGCCGCGTAGGTGCACGGGAGGCCGAAACGTTGTCCGTTCTGACAGCAATGACGGCTGTCAAATGTCACGGCCTTCTCCGAACTCGGTCACAAGCAGGATCTGGAACCCGATCCCCGAACACAGCCACTGGCGTTTTCCAGCGATTGTGAGCATCAAAAACGTAAACCAAGTTGCAGGCGACACATAAATCGATTGATCGGTAAACTAATACACCCAGTGACATGTATACCAGGCATCATAGGTCATATAACTGCTCCCGAATCAGCAATCAAAGGTTATATCGTGATGCGACCAGTGCGAATACACGAAAGTCGCGATCTTGTCACCAGCCCCAACTCTGAATCTCAATGTGTCCAAGACATCAGCACGGCCCAAATCGGGCACTTTCGTTCGACCGGCAGCAGACCGTTGAAACGCCACGCTAACGGTAACGGCCGGCCGACAAGCTGTGGTTCTCCTGAATCTCAGGCTCACTGGCTCTCGGAGACCGGTCTGGACCATCTCGCAGATGACCACATCCGGATCTGGTCTGGTCCGGGGAGGGGGCGGGGCGGGTCGGGAAGGTCCAGGTCGGTCCTGGACCGCTCGTCGGGTGACGGCGTACGAATACGGCGGGTCACCGCGACCGGCTCGGTCACCAAGCTTACAAGGTTCATCGAAGAGACGGACGGCGGGCCGGCGCGGCGGTCGATGGCGCGTGCCGCCCGCATAAGGCCTGTCACGCTCATGCTTCCGGGTTCGTACGGGTCACACGGAACTGGAGGGCATGTAAGTGAGTGTGCCGGGTGAGACCGAGTGTTTTTGCTGCCGTTGCCGAGAGTGCGGTATCAATTAAACCTGCAGTAGATAGTCGGCGTGCATCGCCCTCGCGTCTAAATTAGCATCAGTAATTCGGCAACAAACTGCGGGCAGGCACAATGCCAAGATCTCCTCCCATCCCCACTGCGCACTGCCTTCTCCTTGCAAGGTCAGCATCCGGGCAAGGTCAAAGAACATGTTCGCTTCGCCCTGAGGCTCGTCGCGCTGCCTCCCACCCGCGGAAACGCTTGTTGACGGAACAGCACGCGCGTCGGCGGCAATGCGCGTGACAGTCGCGAGGGCGTCGGTCGATCCGAGTCGACGGCCCAGCCAAGGTCTCGGCGGCAACCAATCGTCGCTCGGAGGCCAATGACGTCATAGAGACGGGCCCTTGGCCGCGGGCTATTTCCGAGTGGGAAGCTGCGATCTTGTAAGGACGCGCGCTAAATCCAGACGGCGTTCCAGCCGACAGGAATAGCGGCCGTCACATGGGAGATATGCCGAGCGCGGCGCGCCGGTTCCCGGCACCCGTCAGACGTCAGAGAAACAATGACGCTCGCGGGCGGCCGCCGCGCGGACCGCAGAGCGACCCGGAATGACGCAAATATAACCAGCCACTGGCACATCAGATATATGCATCGTGCAGACACTTGAAATAGCGTCTCAGATTAAATAACGTACCCGGAGGTAGAAGCTGGCTGACATGCTGACATCAATTTTTCATGACCAGGCGAATTTTAAAACCCGTGACATTTAAAGTCGCATCAAAGAGTGAAACCGTTGCCATCCGCAACTCGTGCTGCCTTAGATAATTTTAAGCACTAATTGACGACAAAATAAATCTTTAATTTCCAACAGACGTCATTGCACAAAAGCGTAGGCACTTTGTCGTCTATTGGCTTCAATCAACAGCGCACTACATGGAACAAGGAAAACGGAGTGTATTCCTTGAATGAACCATCCGGGTTGAGGCTCGGTTGGAGTTCATAGAACTGTAACAAATATAAGTTTATAGAGGCAATAACAAACGCCCATAAGGATAAGAAAACAGCCGCATTTGCATTAATTGGAACATGGTACATCCCCGTTTCCAACAGAAGTTTTGTGATGTTTGAGTTGGTGTTCGCGAAAAAAAAAATGTTGAAGAAATGGGCATTGGCCCATACCAAAAAAAAAGGATTCAAAAAGACATCTAGGCCCATCATTGCCCTAACGGTACTGCAATTCAAATGGCCACCCCTCGTAATCAAACGGGGCTCCGCCGGGCGATGTAAGCTGCAGCTGCAGCGGCCTGCGGCGGCCCGGGTCCACAGAGGGCACCATGACACGCCGCGTCCAGTCGCCAGCGCGTTCCTCTGCGCCTGCATGGACAGCGGCGGCGACTGAATCACAGTCCGTGACTCACGCTGCCTCAGGGCGCCGAAGACCGTCGCCGTCCGCCGGGGCGGATGCGACCGGTCGAATGACCTGCCCCTGACTCATCAGCCCGCTTCGCATCCACCCCAGTCTGACAGACAGGCCCTCAGATCTGCAGCTCAGAGACAGGACTCTGCAGAGCCGTCCTACCACTTTCGCTCTCGCCGTGTCTTCCGCGAGACCGACACACCCCTGAGAGTTCCCTCGTATTCATCAACTCAGACGCGCTCTAGATTGAGCTGCCGGAACATCTCGCTCCACTGCAGAGCGCTCTGATCGGAGTGCAGCACCCGTACCGCTGCGGGTAG